CGGCGTATACGGTACCGACGCCGCAGGTTGTAAATGGGCGTGATACCAACTAACCAGCCGACAGCACCAGTGAAAACCGGTATCATCCATATATATAGTACGTTCGGCGCCGTAAAAAACCCATTACGGTTTTCCCCCAAACAACAGTAGCGACAAAATCAGCTATATACGGACTTCCAAGTTCAGCGCAGCTATGCGAATTCCCTACTCATAACACCAACCAACATTCCAGGTCCCCAACGTTATTCCAGTAATACCTTCTCAATGCATTCCCAACGACAACCAGGCGCAAAAAAGATCATTCGAGTGACGACACGTGATCACATATCCTCACCCAAGCGGTATCGTACCGGATTACCGGTACGGTGGAGCAAATCAACCCCCACACCCGCTCACGGTTTTCCGAGCACCGCCAGCTATCGGACCCCAAGGTGGCCTCATAGGCGATCACTCAGCTCGGCAGTCAGATGGGGCACCCCCCCGCCTTTCCAGAACCACCGATCAAACACCACGCTAGGTTGCGAGGGGGAGACAGACAACCCCCATCAAGCTTCCCCGCGGACCCCAGACTCGAAAGATCTCCGATCAGCAGAGAATTGAGCGCACCGGTACCATGGATGTTGTCGTATTAGTCCCTGCGGTACCGGAAAGGGTGTCACGGCCGTCGAGTTTCGGTTTTTCACGGGCACGCGCGCATGCATCTGGCGATTAGAGCATCCTGGTAACCCATGTTGAACCGCTGGTCAAGATAGGCGAGTGTCAGCTCATGCGCATTGGAGTTCTTATAGGATGCTTCAACATGTCTAGCGGTATTTTGCACGCTTCGCTGGTCCACTATGGCGCGAAATTCGAGGGTTCATGAGAATCCACGGGGAGCTGACGATTGGAAGGGAGCTCGAGCAACCAGAAAACCACGAGCGAGTGAGAATATGTGATGGCTATAGCCTCCATAGCGTCAGTGCAGTGCGAAGCCATCACCCCACATCCCCGTATTCGGTTGTGCAAAGCGACGTTTGAGGAAATCGTCCATCAACGGAGTCGAAGAAGAACCTGGGTTGACGACATATTCCCTACAGCAACCACCTCGCAGATGACAGTTTTGACATGTCGGGTAATTCGATCGAGGAAGTGACAAAACTGACCGCTGAACCACTCGCCCATCCAAACAGTCGGTTTCCTGGCCGAGAATGTGGGGGGTCCACCCCCCCCCCTCCTTGACTATCGCAAAGTGATAGTATCAACCCACCTAAAACTCGTATTCAGCCAGTATCAACCGATAGATCCCCCCTCCCGCCCCGATCTCTTTCGAATAACGATAATCGTGTAGATGGTAATTGGCGAACATACCATAGTCCAGGCGAAGACCGGAGACGAAAAGAAAAAAAAGAAAGAATAAAAAAAAAATCCCCCCTCCCCAAGCCTTGCGCGTTATCCTATCCAGACGACAAAAAAAACTAACTTATCGCCATTCTTATCGTCCCCCACACGCTAGCACGCATAAGGTTAAACCAGTCCTTGGTGATACAATGTACCACACAAGAAGAAATTTTTTTTTGATAATGATTGCTGGTATATCGTATTATGATATGTCGTCAAATCGAGTATCTCCGTTCCAGGGCTCTAAATCTCCGTTTCCAGACAAAAAGGGCCCTGATATAAAAGTCTACCAGGAGCGATAATTTAGTAGCGTAGTTGGGGGCCACAAGTTATGAGAGGAAAAGGACCCAAATACATCATACAAGTCATTCGTAGCGGGCAGGAAGTGAGTACTCGTACTGTACCGGTACTTGTTACCATGCCAAAATATGCGGCGAAAAAGCTTGTTATGGAATACTTCTTGCCCGCTGCGAGTACAACTTGAAGTATGGATAGTCTACCTGGGAGATGTTTTCGCCACAGCACAGGGAGGGATTATTTCGCTGATTAACCATCCCCGTCCTCGCACTTTAGAAAAACACATCTCCCCGGATACCGTACCAGCCGGTACCGTACAATTAAATAGCGATACTCGAGCACTTGAAGCGCGAGCCCGGTACCATAACCAATCAATTAACCGAGAACCCTTTTCACCCGCTTGGGTTTTTCGTTCCGTCCAGAACCGTGTTTTTGTCCGTGACGGCCCAGACGAGGGGGGCATTTTCCCAGAGAGAGAGAATTCGAAAATTCAAAGGAAAATCACCAACCCAAATCCGGTGTGAACGGAGGGCCCCCCCAAATAGGACTTGCCAGCGCCTTATACGAGTATATCGGTTCCACATCGGTTAAGTGGATTTTCATCCGGCCTCAACAACAAACTTTGGAACGAGGGGTCGTCCCCTCATACAAATTAATCGATGGATTAATTCCTCAGCTCCACACAACGATATTTTTGAGAAAAGCAAAACTATGAAACTTTCCGATTATCATTATGATGGTCGGGCGTTCATGCGCTTCTTTCTTTGTTGAGCTGTTTTTCCCTTTGGCCCGGGCCTGAAGCTATCGTACCATAAATTATCATATTATCGTACCGGCTGCCTTTCACGCGCCACCACATCTCCGGGACAACCGGGATGGACATTGAAAATTCCCTTCCGCCCCTGTGAGTTGTTTGAGGACGGAGGTTAATACTATACAATATACAGTAAGCAAACCCTCCACAAACACCGGTGCGAGTGGTCCACCATTCCAGCAGTCAAAACTCGGGAAATATGTGCACCGCAGACCATAATATTATGATGGCTAATATTAGCCATGACCACAGCCCAGACTGATACCGGTACTGTAATTGCCCAAAGATAACGGGCACGGGGGGATACGGTGCCCACCTTAGTCATCCACACCTCAGAAACCCCCCGACGCGGCACGACCCCGCAGTCGAAAACATGCCCCATCTCCACCCGTACAGTGCATGATAAGAAAGCATAGTCACTCAGTCTCGAATTCACTGCGGAAAGGAACAGAAACGACGACAACAACAACGTGCTCGTACAGTACAGTACCGTAGAGTACAGTACAATAAATAGTGGCCGCTTGAAAAAACATCCCTTTGTCCGTCACCGTATCGTACAGGCGCGTGATATCATTATGTCCTTTACAGCATTCGCTTGGATTTCACACATCCGCGG